AAAAAAAAAAAAAAAAGTTTAGTGATTTTTAAAATTTTATTTCAATTTAGTATGGGGGAAAAAAGTCAGAATTCTGACTTTTTTTTCATCAGAATTCTGACTTTTTTGTCATCAGAATTATGACTTTTTTTTCATCAGAATTTTGGATCTTAATGTAGATGGGCACCATGAAGGAAGAGATGTGGAGCACTCAGCTTCACTGACAAAGATGTGAGTTGTTTGAGGTGGCCAGTGACACATTGGTAGCCTGGGTGCCATTCCGAACTTAGTCCCGCCCACAAATTTTGAGGTCGGGAAGTTCGGTCTGGCTCTGCTCCATAGTAGCGCGAGTATTATCGCCCACTGTCAGGCGATCCAATCAAATTGTCAGGGCGGGCTTTATACGATGATGGACAGATGATCAACAGTAACGTAATCAACCACGTCACCAATGCGCTCTTGGGTGACAACAATAATGGCTGCTGCTGGAGTGTTTAGGTGAGTAGATTCTGCTATTAGGTCTGTTCTAGAAGATATCGACAGCAAATTAATTTTAAAAGAGGAACAGAGAAACGCGATCAAGTCTCATCTTCTTATTCTAGGCGTGCAACTGCACGCTTTGATTTTTGTGGACAACAACTATGCCTCGCTTAACATACGTCACGCACTCCGTTGCTCTTATTGGTTGTAGGTCTATCCAATTGAGTGCAGAGGCATTTTTTTTTTCCTGGTTCGTTCAAAACACGCCCCATAATCACAGCTCTATGGAGCAGTATCAGACTCATATTCTGACTAGAATTGAGTCGGACTACGTCAGGCTAACACATTGGTGGAAAATGACAGAATTAGGCAACTTTTTACGTGCCCGAGGGGTCCCCTCATTAATGGAGGAGCAGAAGGTCATTAAAACAAGAGAGCTAGTCTCTAAAACAGACATGGCTATGGCTTGATGCTAACATGTTTGTTATCTGTCAGAATTCTGAGATTAAAGTCAGAATTCTGACTTTTTTCTCACACTAAACTGAAATAAAATTTAAAAATCAATTTACTTTTTTTTTTTCTTTTTTTTTTCAGTGGCCCTAATCCTCTTCCGTACCTTTGACTCCAAAAGTGACAGTTTCCTACGGTGATGAATTCCACTTTATAAAGCCTCAAACTCGATGCCATTTCTGACATTTGGATAGAATAAGCTTCCTGGAGAGGTAGCGAAACATCTTCAAACTTGGAAGTCCAATTGATATTTTACTTTTTTGGAATGCAGTGTTTTTTTTGTTTTGTTTTTTTTTAAAGTTGATTTGATCCAATTGATTTCACACAAAATCTTTTTTTAAATACTAAATATCACCAATATACCATAAACCCGCTATAGATAAAAACAAAAATGTACTCTATAGAATGCTGCTGGTTGTTTTGCAAATCAACAGTCAGTCAGTGACTGTAAAACCAAAGACCATGAGGAGAGATTCATAAATTACTCACAAGCCTTCTTTTGAAGTATTTTTTGTTTCTTTAACTAAAATCTTAATTGCATTAGATATTAAAGTGGCTTTAAGCATGGTATCAGGAGTACATGCACTAATGTCGGTAAAAGCGGAGATGAGGATATGACTTGAAATGAATAAATGCTAATTTTAGCAGTGGTAAAATTGCAAATGGACTTTAAATGATGAGCAGTCTAAAGATACTAAAACCTGCTTGCATCCTCTTTAAGTATTTCCTCTTTCTCACATTATTTTCGGCATCCAGTGCAAGAACATCTTGCATTTATATGTGATGCACATTTTTGTAAAGACTATAGATTTGCGATAAGTGACATCCCAGTAGAGGCTGGAGTGCTGAAATGAGCTGTATGGAAGTAATGATGGTAATGAGTGGTCAATATAGTAAACAACTTCTCTGATGATGCCACTATAACATGGCAGTTGGTTTTTAAAGCTTTATCTTTTGATTAAATATCAGAACTTTTTTATAAATACAAAGTAAAGATGTTTCTTGAAGGGAAAAAAAAAACAACAAAACATAGCGTAGCAAGTAGCCATAGCTCATACTGTTTCCTCTCCATTAATTTTTGTAACGCGCCGAAATTAATCCGTAAACTATGGCTGTTTTGTTTCTCGTCGGCCATGTTTGTTTACTCTGAACTCACGTTTGTTCTCAAAAGGTTTTGAGATTTCCTGTCTAAAATCTGAATGTCAATATGATCAAGCCTCTTACATTTATAATTTGTTATATTTTAACTTTATTGCGATGTGGGGTTGCTTTGGATTTGAAAGTTAACCAGTAAGTCTGAAGTCTTGCCATTTTAACCAGTAATAACGTGCATGCTGACCCTCAAAGCTTGTTACCATTTAAAAACAAAAACAAAAAAACAACTGGTTAATAACCAGTGCAAAACTGGGGATATGGAGTACCAGTCTGATTTGGGGAGCTCATAGCACTGGGCTAATGCACACCTTCAGTGGTTCTGAAACTTAAACCTACTGTTTCTTGAAACAGGAAACCAACCTGCTCTTGAGCTACAAACCAGGAAGTAGATTCTCCAACCGCATACGGGATTGTGCAGCCTGAATTTTTCTGTTTTCATTTTTTCCCAACTTTAAAGACTTGGAATTGCCTCCCGTCTTAACAATTAATCGTTTACTCAAATAATCAACAAAATCAGTAACTGATTAATCATTAACTGGAGTATAGAGACTAAACATGCCTTTAGCTGACTCAACAACCCACTTAGTGCAGTAATTAAGACATTTTGCATTTAAGGGGGGGGAAATGTTTTAATCTGTCAATATTCTCTATCCAGTCTCCTTAAATGGAAAAGTTTAAGTTTCATCTGGTTTACTTTCATAAATCTTCTTTAAGGAGCCTTTGGCTATCAGATTATTAGTCGAAAAATAATCGAAAAATGTATTGATTTTTCAAAATAATTTTTATTTGCAGGCCTAATGTATGCACACACCTAGTACTCCGACGTCGAGGTGCTAACGTCTCTGTTAAACACTTCAAAAAACTCTGAAAATGGAATACGAAAGGTGGATTCTTGA